TCGCGTTTCAACATCAAAACGCCAAGGTCGAACCCCGCGGTGCCAACACCCAACCTCGCGTCTCAATCCTAAGACGTGAGGTTAGGGTCCTGAACGCCAACGTGGGCGTTTGACTCATTCAACATGAGTTGAACGGTTCTAAAACCGTTGCCCACGATTTGGGGGCGGTTACATCCCACTTAGGAGAGATTTAAGGGGCGGTTTCACCCCCTTAATCCTCTATAAATAACTGAAGATCAATTCAGTTCAAGCCACCCCCCTTTGGGTGGGAATTCTTGGCTTGAATCGACCATTGAAGGCTGGCATTTTCGGATCTGGGACTTCACAGCAAAGGTCTTGGAGGAGATCGGCCTTGATCCTTCAGCAACGATCGACCACAGAGCTTTCTTCTAGCCTTGGCTTATTAACCGATCTTCGGTTCAAATCAACTCTTTCATAGAGTTCTAAACTCGTTCTGAGCTCTCAAACTTGCCACGCAAGTTCTCTACAACGTCAAATCGTGAGGAGGAGACATTGTTCCAGTGAATCAAGACGTGCGGATCGTCAACGGAGAGCAAACTCGACGCGAGCATTCGAGGGAGGCACTCCATCGCCACCGTGAAGAACCCAGTTTTAAACAAAGAGGAAGAACCAATTTCGTTCTCCTCTCTTTTGTAATCAAGTTGTAACCGAGATCAAAGGAATCAAAAATCACATTTTCTTTATTCTCTTCTTTGCAATTTTTCCTACAAATCTCAGCAAAAGATGGCGACTCCGCTGGGGTCAGTTATGGGCTGGGCTTCTGTCTCAGTTGTGGCTGGACTACTGTGAGAGCCCGTTGAGAACGGATAAATAGTTTATAATTTTATTCTTGTATAGCAGATTTTCACCTTTACTTTAGAATTTAATCAGTTAACTGTCGCAAGAGTAGCTCTATCAGATAATTGTTGCAAAAATAGAATTTAATCAGTTAAAATTTAGGAAGTTTTAATTTTTTCTTGAGATAGTGAGGGTATTATGTCAAACAATTTTCATAACACCGAAAAAAACCATGTTCTTTGTAGGCTTAGAAATTTTAGTTCTCTTGTCAGTTGCCTTTCTCTGTATTTTCAGTCCATAAATACGTTAATTAATATACTTTGAATATGTTGCCTTTGCCCTATACCTATATATAAAAAAGACAAATTTATACTCTCAAAACACAGATTTAACACCTTAGTACCACCCCCAAATCATTGAACTCTTGTCATTCTAAAAGCAGAAAAAAAAATAATAGAGAGATTTTCAAATTAGTATACAGAGATATGCTATCACTCGAGCTTATCTGCATAGAGGTTATTAGTGAGTTCTTGTCATTAATGGGCTTCAAATGAGAAATTCGGCCCAATAGCCTAATAATCAACAAAGTTACCTTTGACATTTAGTTATTTGATACAAGAAGACTGAGTCTTCGTTGTTGAAATATAAATGCAACAAGTGATCTATTATTTGATCTCAGGCTCCTTCATGTTAAATGGGTCTTGTAGCGAGAAGCAAGGTTACTTCAATGGAGACCAAGACACGATTCCTCTCCTGGTAATAAATCTACCCCCATAAGTAGTTGTATATTTTTAATCTCCTGCACAAAAAGGGATAAATTGTGAGGACCTCTCTTTATGTTCTCTTTGAGGAGGCAATTGTATGGAGAACCCAGATAATATTTTATGTGTTCAAATTACTTGTAAGTTTTTATATTAAAAACAGAAAATGATCTTACTTTTCCTCATTACCCTATGGGGCTTGTAGTGATTAACTTTTAACACACATATTTCTTGAATGTTATTTTATCCTCTCGATTTGGCCATGGTTTAAAATAGATTTCAATCTTACGTTTTGGCCCACCTTAATAGAAGAGCTTTGGACTTTCTGGCACTTAAATGAAATCTCCACAGTTAACATGAGGAATGAGTGCAATAGTTGGTCATGTTAAATTGTTGGCTCGTTTAGAAAGAAGAAAATTCTTAAATTAAGTCTCTCTAACCATCAGACAAAAACTTCAAAGTTATGATGATGCTTGATGATTATACCTTTATATTCTAACATGCCTCATAGGTTGACTACCTGAGTTACTCTGATACTATCTTACATTAAGTCTTTCGAACCATTATATCAAAACTCTAACGCTATGGTCATGATTGAGAATTATATATTTATATTCTAACAAAAAAGATCATGTTTTAACCAAAAGAGCAAGATCAAGCAAGATGCCAAAATTGTAGCTTTATCAATGGCCATTGCAGAAAAGTAGAAGACCCAAAATAAGTTCGAATTTATATTATCCCTCCATTTCCATATGCTTCCATCTTTATAAATAGGAAAAAAAATTTTGGCTCGCGGACCAACCGCGAGC